TGTCTCAACCAAGAAGTTCCAGGAGTAAGAAAAGCTCGCTGACTAATTAAGCTCAAATGGATGTACGTGGGTCTGCTCAGAGGGGACTAAGCATTAATTAAACTGCTTTTAGAGGCAAACAGGCTACTTGGGTTTTTGTGTGGGTTTTTTGTTGGTTTGGGTTTTTGGGGGGGGATGGGGTGGGGGGGGTGTATACTGTTTTTTCCTATAGAGCTATTTGCTATTTGCAGTGAAAGAGGTAGCTCGTGTTTTGGATCCTCATAGTTTATTACCAATGAAATGTAGATTTGTAGCCATGGGGCTAGTTAGGCATCTCTATGGAAACGTACAGCCACGGGGTTTGTGCACTGGTTGCCATCAGGGTTTTCAGAGTTTTCATTTTTCTTCATATAGACAAGAAGCATATACAAAAAGTCAGACTTCAGCGTTCAATTCCAGGCTGCATTTGGGGAAAGGTCACAGAAGAACAAAAACCCCGCTCACCCTGGGGTAAGATCCCCACAAGAGTTTGTTTTTCAGAGTGAAACTCCTGAAATTTAGGACTTGAGGCTCGTTACCGGTAGGCACGAAAGCACTTCCTTCCTGCAGACGGAATTGTGATCAAGAGGGTTTTTTTTTAATTTAAAACTGTCGTTTCAAGAAATGTAAATCTTTCCAAGCACAGACATACCTTGGCACTGATGCTCCAGGTAGAAGCAGGACGCTGGAGTCCACAAGCAGACGCCTCTGTACTTTCATGACCTCAGCTCCCCTCACATGCTTCTCAGGCACTACTTCTTTATTTTTATGTGATAGTGATGTGTGAAAGTCCTGCCTGAGGCCACCCCAGCCCCAGGGAGCTGCAGTCTGGGTGACAGGGGTTCTGTTATGCTTCTGACTGTGCTCGCTGGTTTGCCGGATACCAGGTTAGCAGGACTGCAACAGTTTTTCAAAACAGACTTGAAAAATTTCCGAAATGCTTTATATATAAAGTGAAAAAACGACTGCAAAGGAGTGGTGGGATTTTTGGTTTTGTTTTTTCAGCAGTCTTCCAGTTGACATATTTCTGCATGGAATTAAGGGTTGCCTATTCAGTACTTTTTTTGCCACTTCTGCCTATCTGTTGATTCTGCTAAGGGGTGGGGTGCTGGGGTGCTTTTTAGTAAGATTCAGGGAAAACCAAGGTGTGGGTTGTTTTGTTGTTTGAGTTTTGTTTTTTTTTCCTGTGTGTACACATGTGTCTTTTACATTGACTTTAAAAAGTACGGTTACTGTGAGCATGTTTAATGGCTCTTCTCAGCGAGATCTGGCAGGTTAGGAAGCAGATCCAATACACTTACGTTATTAACACCTGCAGAAGCAAACCCAGGAGAAATGACAACGAAAAGGGAATTACTTTCCTAGTTACCAAAGAGCAGGGGTGAAAGCTGGGATTTATAGAAATCCATTGAAAAATTCACTGGCTCTTTATGGAACAGGATTTAAGCTCTGCTTCTTCTCCTAACCCTTGCAAGGACAAAACTCTTGAGACAGCCTTTCATACGAACACGATAAACTGTTTGCTTCGCCACATTGCAGAAATGGCTTTTTTGGTCAGTGCTGCATTTGAGAACTCCTGAGGAAAAGCTGAGATGCAGACAGGTTGTCAAGTGCTGCATGAGCTAATATTAATGCCTGCTGTGACTTAGTCTTGCTACTTGGGTTTTTTTTCTGCTCCTTGTGTTAGATCTGTCTGATGGAGCGATACCAGACTGTCATTGGCTTCCACTGCAGCCGGTTTTCTGTCAGAAACAGTAATGAGAGAAACCAAGGTGTTTTTTTTCTTTTTCCTTTGAATTTTTGAACGAGGCCTGCTGTGTTTTTCCAAATTGCATCTTCGTTATAAGTATTTAAGAGCCATGGCTTTTCACATCAGACAAGTTGGCATCAGCTTTGAGAAGAAACATGTTATTCTAAAGCAGAAAACGAGATTAGAAAATTGCTTTTGCAGATAGAAACGAAGTCCTGTCGGCTCGTCTAATCCAGTTCTTTGGCACTGGTGGAGGACAGCTTTCTGCACGGCAGAATGCACGGCTGCCTCTGCCAGACGTCCCAGCCTGGGCTGCTGTGCTTTCGCAGCGCAGCTCCCGCGACCAGCCCTGGGCCCCGTGGTTTGATATTTCCGGGAACAAGCTGGCACGCAGCTCCGTGTACTGCTCCACTGCAACGTGGAAACGTGTCCTACAGGAGTTCACTTTGGAAAGGTGTATTGGGTTTGCGTGGCAAGGGTTTGGTAGCCGGCAGGGGGGGAATACAGGGGTGGCTTCTGTGAGAAGGTGCTAGACTCTTCCCCCGAGGTCAGTGGGGGAGCAGATGCTCAGCTGCAGCCCGGGGAGGACCCTCTGCCGGAGCACGGGCTGTCCCCAGAGGAGGCCGCGACTCTGAGGGCAGCCTGTGCTGGGGGGGTCTGTGCCTGAAGGGCTGCTCCCTGTGGCGGGGACCCACGGGAAGATGCTGCAGCCCCGGGGGAACAACCCACGTGGGAGAAGTTCGTGGAGCACTGTCTCCCGTGGGAGGGAGCCCACGCGGGAGCAGGGAAGAGTGTGAGGAGTCCCCCCGGGGAGGAAGCAGCGGCAGAGACACGGGTGATGGACAGACTGCAACCCCCATCCCTGCCCCCTGTGCTGCTGGGGGCCAGGAGGGAGAGAAAACTGAGTGAAAATAAACACAGGAAGAAGAGAGGGGTGGAGGGAAGGTGTTTTTAAGATTTATTTCTCATTATCCTACTCTGATTTGATTGCTTATAAATTAATGTCCCCAAGCTGTTTTGCCCGTGACTGTAACTGGTGTGTGATCTCCCTGTCCTTATCTCCATCCATGAGCCTTTTGTTGCATTTTCTCTCCCCTGCCCAGCTGAGGAGGGGACTGATAGAGCAGCTTTGGTGGGCACCAGGCATCCAGCCAACGTCAACCCACCACAAAAGGTCATCCTGTATTTCAGTGTCCCTTTTAAAAAATACCCTGAAAAAGAAGTGAAAGGTGTTGGGTGGTTTTTAATCTTTTTAAAGGGCATTTAGCTAGCTCATACAGCAAGCATGCAGAACGTAAGCTATCCAACCAACTATGAAACAAAACCTGGAATTAATTGCTTAATTCTCTTTGCATTAGGCTAAAGCATATGGTTTTACAATGTCTTCAGTGAAGAACTGCTGAATATGGGAAACATCCACTATTGCCTTGTACTAAATTGAAAAGCAAGTTCAAGTGTAAAGATCGGTGGGGTGATAGCCAAAGGCAAGCTGTCCTGCAACTTACTTTGGGAGACAATCTAGTTTTAAGGTTTGTGTGTACAAGTTTGACCCAGCAAGCACATTAAGTAATTACCATCTCTGAAAACCCAGCTTTTGTTCAAACTTCCTTGTAGTTCTTCAACTACGGGAAAGAATCCACAGAGATGCTTCTTACCCAGCAGCTGATATACACGTGCCAAAACTTTTAACTGTACCCAGGAGTAACAGACTGCAAGCGAAGGGATTATCACCCATTTCAGCCCGTTTTCTCCAAGGCTGCTATAACAATGATTTGTCCTGCGCTGGCACACAGGCTAACGCTGCATTTGAACAGATCCTGAGCGTGCACAGACGTAGGAACTGGCCTCCTTCATTTTCAGGTCCAGCTGACCTCTGTGTGTCACTCCACCAGGAGAGCACACAGCACTCTGTGCTTGGCCAGGCAGCACCACGCCACACGCGCAGCACAACGTGAAGGCAGAGAAATGACTAACAAGTGGAAAGCTTGCCTGCGTAGCAGCTACAGAGCGGTGCAGGTGCTTGGCAAGATCAAGGCTTTGATCCTGTTCACACCAGCATGCGTGAATTCTCACATCCAGTGCTTTCCGTGGGAACACTCACACATGTTTTACCGAAATCAAGGGCACTGTACCATCTGATTCACTGTTTTTTATATTACAGCAGCCGTAGTGTTTTGTAAGAGTTGGGGTAAAGACCACAAGTTGACTTTAACTGCAGCAGGGAGCACACTCTGCTAGCTCCAGAAGCTCGTACCAAACAAACTTTCCCACTTCCCTGTTGATGGAACCCTGAGCCTCAGTCCCACATTTCTAATCCCCTTGCCTGCCTGGTGCAAACCACTGAACCGCTTAGTTAATACTGCTCCTAACCTCAAACAACCAGCACGAGCAAATGGCAAGATCCAAGCATACACATAACTCCATCCAGAAACTATGGGAATGCTACACGGAAAGACATCCTTTATTTCAAAATTTTTATGAAAAATAAAGTTTTTCTACATGAGCAAACATTTATTTTTGCTGGCAGAAGCATCTAAAAGTTCACAAAACAACTCCAAGCACAGGTTTAAAAAGAAGCATCCAAACTTTTAATTTAATCTCCAAATCTTGGTTAAGTGGACTTCAACTTTCCTTTATTTCCCCGAAAAGAGGTTAGTGGCTTGGGGCAGTATTTTCTCCAGAAGGCAAACATCTGTTAAAGCTTGCACTACAGGTGGTTTTCATCCTTTACTGCCTGAAGTCCAGTTTCAAGTTTAGAATTAGAGATATGTTCCACATGGCTTGCAGCACGGTACTTTTTTAATCTCATTTCTCCAGGGGTGCATAATTCAAAAGCTTCTCAATCAGATCCACATGGGCTAGGAGCATTCTGCGGCAGCAGTATCTCTTCAAACCAAGGGCATCCAGGGCATCTCTATTAATGAACAAGAACAACAATAAAAAAAAATAATGGATGAAGTGAGTCAGAACCACTTGTAAGCGTTCCTAAGCAACATACTGATTACTTTGAGCTTAGTCATAGAGGAAACCTTGTTTGCAGTTCAAATTAAGAAACTGAAATTCAGCATGTGCTTTTCCATTTACTGCTGTTGACGGGGTGTTTGCCTGTTTGCTGGCCTACAAGAACACACCATCTTCTGTTGATGATGGCGTTTAGCTGACACCACTATCAGACTTTCAGAGGTCAGTCTGAGGAACTCCCGCAGGAACAGAACTGTAACAGGCTCTTATAAATTTCCTCTTCTTAACTACCGCACTCCTGAGGGCATATTTGGTCATGAAACAGCAAGGTTAAGTGAGATGCCAGTGTTTTGGTATTGTAAATAAAATTTTAGCCTTCACAGCTGGAAAGAGACTTGAAATATGGTGCATTTCTAAACTCGATTTAGTTACAGTAACTCAGTCTTCCTTTTACAAACACTAGTCTCTAGAAAAGAGAGGAGCTGATCTGGTTAAAAATCTGATCAAGAGGTGTGCATGTAGTAATAGGAACACAGTTCTGAAAGATGAGAAGCCACTTCCATTGCTTTTACAATCCTGGACAGTCCTTAATTCCCTGTGCTGGCTACAGCTCCTGCTAACTGTATGCTAGAAGGTAGCACGAAGGCACTAGACAGTCTCCTGACGCAGGAATAAGGAATTGCATCTCTAAGCATTGTTACCCATGCTATTGTTAGCATCTCTAAGCACAGTTATAACACAATGTTTCTGTAAACTGAGGATGATACTTGCCTACTTCACAAGATAAAATTGTGATCTAAGCCACATTAAAAGGGTGAGAGATATATAGAAACTAAAATAACTCCAAATGCAAACTAGCCCACATATGGATGGGAGGCTAATTCTGAGGAAGGCTAAAACCCTTTCCAGTTCCCATATAAAAAAACCATTCAGTTGCACAACCTGTTCCCCACAAATAAGGATGTGCACACTGCTCAACAAGAAACTTGTGTTATACAGTCTTTCCACTTAATTCTTCTGAGTGACTGCTCAAGAGCTGAGTAAAGAATGGACGAGTCATCCTGAGCCTAAACCACTGCGTGTGTCTTCAATGGCTATCGCTGTCAGACCTCTTAAGTGACACCATCTAAGCTCTTCAGCACCAGCCTATTAACCATAAAGCCAGGCTGATACTCCTTCAGAATTTGACATTCATGAAATACAACTGATCTCATGTTTGTAGGTCTATATGACGCAGTGCAACAATCAAGCATTCACTTAAAACAAATGTCATTTCCCCAAACCTGTAATTCTCTCATAGGAAGAAGCTGACAGATATTTTTCTGAAGTACAAAGGACTGAAAGGAAGCCTCTGCATAAGACAGACCATGGTAAAAGGTTGTTTGGCTTCAAGCAATACAACCTAACTGCATGGAGTCAAACTCCAGCAGCTTCTCTGAGGACGTCAGTGAGTCCTTATACCTAAGAACAGTTCTTCAAGGGCTTAAATAGCAGGGTTAGCACTTGCAAAAGTTAATTAAGTATATCAAAAGTGTATTTTAAAAAAAATGCTTATAAATAATATCACATGATCTCTAAACTTTCCAAAACACTTGAGAACAAAAGCATCTGATGTCTGTTGATACATAAGTTTTAAGAGCTATCTGGAAAGTTCTGAACTTTCAAATGTAGTTATCAGAGGTACAAAATACTAACACTAATCACATCTTTAGATGTCATAATACACGTTTCAGCTAAACCAACTTCAGTTGTATTTCCCTTTTCATCGAGTTTCCAAGAAATTGTGGAAAAAGAGCAAACAGAAAGGTGTGGGTCTTTTGTAACCACAAATTGTTTAGACAAGTTTATTTCTTCATTTTGTCCATCCAATTCTTGAGCCACCATTAAGAGTGACACTGACACTGCACTGTAAGATTTGAACTGTTCGATACCTGTAAACTCTGCTTCTGATCTTACAGTACCATAACTGCGTTAGTTCAAACAGGCATCCTGGAATCACACCAGTCACCATAGCCATTGTTTTCAAGCAAGCATTTACCAGTATCAACATACATCTTCCTGTCCCATACAAAAGCAGAAAGAGTAACAAAGACAGGACAAATGTTAAAATGTAGTACTTGGAAAATAAATCAGAACTGCTACCAGAATAGCTCTGATAAATTTCAGAATTAGTGAGAAATGATTAGCATCCCATACTATTTTAATGCTTTTAGCTCCATAAATGGAAGAAAACCAAAGTTTTTTTGGTAGGAACTTTCCAAATACCTTTAGTTTAGCAGCTGCAGTGTTCTACTCAGCTATGTCTGACAGGTTCTGGGATGTAAATGCACTCTAAAAAGGCCACTCACAGAAGTAATGAGCTTTAGGAAGGGTATTGAATGTTTTTCTCTGGACAGTTCTAAACCATAAAAATGTTTTCAGATTTACTTCAGAGAAAAGGCAGTGAAATCTGTGCTGTTACTATACATTCTTCTGATAGTTCACAGACATTAAAAAAACTATTAGTAACCCTAATATTTGAATGCAAAGCAAATACTCTTTTCTTTCTACTTAACAGTTTCAACATCACTTTGGGAAGTCTCTCAAACTTCTTTTTTTTTCCCACTCATTTGAATCGCAAACATATGTGGTGTTTTTTTTTTTCCCCTCATACTAAAACTTGATGACAACATAAATATTTCTCAAACTCTTCTGAAGTAGGCCCACCACAGCCAGGCCTTCCTTGAACTATTAAAGACAATTCTGGCTATGCAAAGCATGCACAGGCTTCTTAAAATAGAATTGTTAGGACTATCAGTCAGGTATCTAGAGCAGTCAAACAACTCCTTCCCCCCTGTTAGGAATTCTGGGTATTGAATATGAAATGCTTTTAAGAAAGCCTAAGAGGGAGATAGATAGAGATGTATATATATATATATATATATATTAACGACATTCATTACTTCTTATACTTGTAACTTCTCTCTCCTTTAAAAAAAATAATACATTGCTATCAAAGTTGTCTGTCCTGCTTGTTCCTTTCCCTCCTGTTCCATACAGAGTTAAATATCTGAGACTGTTTTTGCTATAAAGGTTAAGACTTGGCAACTTCCATGTTACTACCCAGAAAGATTCAGCAGGGAAACAAGTACTTTTTCACCCATTATAATTTCTAACAACCTCTGGCTAAATAGCTTCAGTTTTCAGCCTCTCTATATAAGTGCAGGATCACGAAGTAGCTGTATCTTTCACACTTTAGATGAGAGCAATCGCATCTAAAAATCTCAAAAGAACATACAGAAATAATACCCACCCTTCTGTATATTCTGCTTGCAGAAGGCCAAGGTAGGCTTCCCACTTGTTTCCAACTATTTTGCCGCATGTGAAGCATCTGACCGGGATGATCATTTTTGCGCTGTAACGTTAAAAAAATTCAGGTCGTGCCTCTACAAAATGACTAAGCAAACCTCGGAACTTGTGTACAAATCCCAACCGGCAGCAAAACAGACAAGGGGACCGCGGGTGGCGGGACGCAAGGCGGGGGGTGGGGGCGTATGTCGCGCC